GTTCAAATAACCCTGGAAGCAGAATGCAGTTTTCAGAGCACTGGAAGTACAGAGCAAATTTTATGTTTTAACTCAAACATTATATTCCCACAAAGAGCATTTCTAAAATGATTCCTGCCAAGGTATGCTTTATTATAGCAACATATAGAACGCCTGCATCACAAACCAAATCTTTTGCAGATGACCTGGATTTCATAATCCGACAGTGTGAAGGATCTTCTCTTTAGCAGTCAGGATAAATGTAAAATGCCTAAACAAAAATCATCAGTGAAGGCTGAGCCTAGGACCTCTGCAGTGTACAACAGACCCCTGACACGCACTGGAAGAGCTCTCAGCAAGGAGCAGTAAGTCTAGTGCTTTCCATTACACAACAAACACTGCCTTGCCCACACACCGACAGTCCACAGCAACTAAGATCAGGAAAAAGCTCTTCAGGACCTACAGCATACAACACATTTGAAAAAACACAACACTAAATCTTCTCTAGGCAAATCCTCTGGCTGTTTTCTCTTGCTGTTTGGCTTTCTTTGTGACCTTCATGTTGGAAGCGTTGTAAGAAGTCTCTGCTTACAACTCAAACTTTCACATGTAGCTGAGGGTCACTATCAAGATGATTGTAAACACATACTGCACCACATACATCACTCACATTTTGATATATCCTGTGTTATGTGATACAGATGTGGTAGAAACAATCTCACATGACTTTATGACAACATAATACTAGGTCAGTATGCAGTGTTCTGGTAACTTGTTCTTAATCTTTCTATTGTTATCTGACCTCCTTTCTCTTCTTTTCTCTTCTTTTCTTTTTATTCCTATAGAGAAGTATTGCAAAAGCCAGAAACAATACCAACAATTCATGAAATATTCAGGTGTACAGTTGCAATCTTTAAATAAATGGAAGTGACCTTCAAAACAGACATCTCCAAGATTAAGAGAACTTCTCCAAAGATGGCATTTGTCACTAATCAATGATTCAAAGAAATTATACTCTCCTAAAAATGAATACAAAGAAGACCTTTCAGAATTACACCACTTTAAAAGTAAAACATTCGCAAAACCCACAGTAAGAACATTACTGAGCTAACAAAAAACCAGAATGAAGTATCAAAACAAAACAAACAAACAAAAAGTTTAACCCTTGTGTTTATCAGTACCCACATCTATGTCTGGTATGCTGGAAAGTCATCCACATATCCACCTGCTATTCCCACGGGCTATCATCATTAACTACATTTTTTTCAACCATTTTATTGTACATGAAAATATTTATAATACTCCACAAATGTATTTCCTTTGTTCATAGTCACATAAATATCTTGGGTTCTAACTGGGTCACTATCTTCGAACAGATGTAATCTCAGCAGAATACCATGAAAAATCTGGGCTACGTTAATGACTGATCCAATTACAGTAGAAATCTCTAGAAAATCCAGATTCATTAAGAACCATGAGATTAGAATTACGATGTACTTTTAGGAATGAGCAGATGGACAAGCCAGTGTCAGACTCTAAGGGGGCTGGAGCTGAACCAGGGATACCTACGCCACTGCCCACGCATTTGGAGGAATTCACATTCTGTGGATACGATAAAAAGGACTTAGGCTCAAGGCAGACCTGGGGGGGCTGGATCTAAACCAACCCTATCCTGGCTAGCAGTGCATTTTACACGGTGCTGGGAGGACATGTTGATAGAGGAAAACGTGTCCAGGAGGGAATGACAGAGCAGGCATCAAGAAACAGGCAGCTTTTCATCCAAGGAGAACATTTATACCAAAGAGGTTCTTACCACTTAGTATCAGCCCCTCCTTGGAAGGCTACATTTTCCCTCCCAAGAAGGCAACGAAGTCCCTCCAAGCAGCATCCTGCTGCTGGCTCCGGCACACCTGACAAGGTTCCACACCTTGCCACCCAGGAGAAGAGAAAGAAAATATCTGAGGAATCCTATAAACAGCTCCTTTTCCCACACTGAGGACAGGTAAAATTTCACAGCATCCTGACCTGTGGTGCTGACAACAGTCTTCATCAGAGCACCCTACTTCTGCCGCTGGTAAAAGAGCATCAGGGAGATCTCCCTTTGAAGTAACTTAAGGCTACGAGGACATTCAAAGTTAAACATTTAGTTAAGATCTTTGATGACTCAAGGCCAGTTTTCAGCTAAATATTTTACCTGGAAAGGAATAATAAAGAGCAGAGAGGAATATTTCTCCTTTATAGATCTTGCTGCCAGCTCCAAGCCAGTAAACATTTACATTCCAGCCAGTCTGATAGCTAATGTGACCTTTCTATTGTGCACTTTACACCTGTTCTGTATTTTCCTTTCAATATTAACATTCCTTCCAGTCCATCTTACATTAACAAGCAGTATTTAAATCTATGCAAATTTCATATTTTAGCTGATGTTTTAGGAAAATTTTTAAGGTCACCCTGTTTGATCTATCATACAGGCGTAGCAAATTTATGCACCATATATCCTCTCTACTTGTTTTTACCTACATCTGTCTTCTCTGATTGCATGTGAATGGACTTATTTTCTATTTTAAATAAAAGATTTATGCCTTAGCTGTCAGTTTGCCTTCATTTGAAAATTTAATTTTATTTCTAGAAGTCTAGATTAACTTATTAGATTTAACTGCCCCTTGTGAGTCCCAGTGATAAGAGAACTGTATTTTCCCTTGAGAACAGAATACATAAACAAAATGCTCTCAACTTAAAATAAAGAACATTATTACTTAGATGAATACAACATAGTCAGTTCAGGATACAAAAGCTGATGTTGTCATTTTTAACTTATGATGGTAAGTAATGGGAACTGACTTCTAAATCGGACTTCTTAAAAATCAAGGAGCCTACAAAACCATGGAAATATTTTGGAAAAAAAAGAAAAGAATAAAAAAAGGAATGTTCCCCAAAGATGTCCCCTACACTTAGGTCAGCAAATATGCTTTCATGAATATTGTTGTATATTTTCATGCATATTTCATTGTGCACTACTGTAAAACACAACTTAACACAATATGTCTGTATTTGTATGAATGAAAGAGTAACCAGAATCTGCCCCACTATTTCCAGCTAGTTAGAGGCCAGTTTATTGATTCAGTTTGGTATTTCACACCTTCAGTGTGACATGTTCTTTAGTGCCTCTCAGCAATGCTAAATTCTAAATGCCAATTTTTTTATTTTTTTTTTTTTTTAATTTCAGGGGCTTCTAACAAGTGATAACTGACTGACTGCATCTGCTGTGCATGGTCCTTGCAATGCCCAGAACAGCTAGTTCTCAGATTTGTGTGTGTGAGGGCAAGGAGAAGCTAATCTTTTTGAATGAGTTCATATATTTTCTCTTTTTCTCCATTTGTCATTTCTAGAAGAACCTGAACTTCCAATCCACACAAGCTTGGACAAAATCTATGCTCTTATACCTCCTATACCTCTCCTATACCTCCAATTCTATACTGAAAGGAATTTCACTGCTTTTGAAAGGAATTAGTGTTCCTTTGGCAATAGTGTTCACAGTATAACTAAGATCTTGCAATATAATGATGCTACAGCAAAGCAAGCAAAAAAAACCTGAAGGATAGATATTTGCTTGGCTATTTTAGTAAATCTTCAATTGTATTAGTGGTACACTGTATCCTGATTCACATTATTAAATATTGAACATCTTGGGCACAGGTCTCTTGAGGAAAAATGGGAATTCATACAAAGAAAGCAAATACATCTATCTATACGACGACTTTCATCACTCATAGAATATCAGCTGAGAGATTAACAGCAAATAACACCCTCTACCCTCTCCCATTCAGGGGAATGTAGCAGCTATTTAATGTGGCAAGAAATGATAATGGAGAGCATGGTGACATCTAAAAACAAAACAAAAGAAGAGGTAACTAATAGAGGCAAAACAGGGCAAAGCTTAACCTGCTTAGCAGCTCTCAGTCTGTGTCACTGTACGTATGAAGTGCAATCTATGCAATCTCTGCAGTTATTAGTCACTTTTAACTCCAACCCCGTAAAAATTAAACTACCACAAAGCACAATCTCCATATATATGACATCGTCAACATAAAGTGGAGTCTTCATCAAGTTCTTAATCTCTTCAAGACAGAAATATTCTAAGAAGTATTTTAGGAACAATCATAAATATCACCCTTCCATTGTCATTTCTAGATAAAATATATACATGTACTGTATAATACCTCATTTGACTCAGTGTGAACGCAGCAAAGTTCACACTCATTTACCATTGGGCAGGTAATTACAGAGCAGGTTTCCCTGTTGAGGAGTGCTAGGAAATTACTAGCTAATTCCAGTCAATCACTTCTGTTGGGAAGTTTGTGCTGTATTAAATCCTTGACAATGATCATTTTTTAAAGAATACAAAATCAGAAATGTAATAAGGTAAGACCTGTAAGATGGTAATTGTGCACTATAAGCATGTTGAGGAAACCTTTATGTTTAAGAAGACTATATTATCATAATAGTTATTTTGTTATTACAGAAAGCACCTTGGAATACACAATCTATCGCACCAACCATGGCTCCTCTGAAGAAAGCAATGTGATTTTGATTTAACAAGTATTGAATACCCTTGGACAGAACTTTCAGCTACTCCTGTGCCAAATTATTAATCATTCCTTCCACGTTTTCTCCTGTTATGATAAATGTAATTAATATTTCACCATGGCATCAGATCATATCTGGGAGCAAAAAGGCAACCTTCCATTTCTCCCTCATTATAACTCTATAGTGATAGGTGCTGTCTACCACTGGCAGATAATCCAGAATACAGTGTTTCTGTGCAGGTACAGATTAGGGTCTAAGTAAGGTATATATTGTAATTGAAACAAGGCTTTAACCTCTGATCTCTATGTATATAATGTACTTTATATAAATATAGATGTGTGTGTGTGTGTACACATAGATAGACAGATAGATAAAAATACAATTTTTACAATAAAAAACAATAAAAACAAGTTACCAAATAAAAAACAAGTTACCAAGGCTTGGCCAACCATTCTTCTGATTTGACAGCATTTGAAAAGCCACTGCTTGCAGTAATGTCTTGGTCTCTACAGTGTCACTGAACATATGCCAGGGCTGTGGAAAGAGAACAAAGCATGTGCAGACTGTCTGCTTCTGTCCATAGAGAACAGTGCTGTGAGTAAAAACAACCCAATGAAGATTTAAGTCCTAATTTTACTGCAGAAAACATTGGCATTTTCTTTTATTTTTTTTTTTTGAAAGCCTGAAGCATAATCAAGATATGTGTTGATGTGTACAAAATTAAATTGCAGGAAACCCTATGTTGATGTTTTCAGGGTGACATGTCTCAGGAATCCACATATTTCAGCAAATGGTTTTGTGAGAAAGGCTCTCTAATAAACAAATTGCCTTGGGATCCTGCTGCCCAATTATTGAGAAACAGAGAGGCATCTCTTCACAGTTGTCTCCTTGCTCAGCATTCTTCGGTATGGCCACAAATTCTTCTCTCTAAATAAATTCTAACTATACTTACTATTATCATTTCTTCTCACTAAATAAAAGAAAAAAGCTTTCAAAAATGTCATTGGTCTGACACATTTACAGTTCTTACAAGAAAACTAGGTTGTGGAAAATTCTCCCAGTGTTCCAGGCAAAGGCTCCAATTTCTTCTCTTCCTCAGAGCCCATTGGTATTGCCTTCAATCCCACCTACAATCCTCAGGTATGTCCCAAGTCAATATGGAGACACTCTTTAGATGAAGAAAGACTAAACAAAGCCACATGGAATGAGGTGGCTTTGATTTCTGAGCTTGTGAGAACTGCCATGTACATATAAGCTAATTTGCACCCATTTGCAACCTCTTGGTGGCCAGTCTAGCCAATTATGCTGGGCAGCACTTGCACTTTTATGAGGAGCTCTGATTTAGAATCATGGTTTTATTAGCTAGGATTTATTTGTTTCCAACAGCTCCATATATTTTACAAATGCCCCTACCTCTCACTTTTGGAGTACGATCTATAACCGTTGTGAACTTCAGGCATACCCTTCCTCACATCACTTCTCAGTGCTCAAATAAATTCAGAAAGATCTAAGTATCTATTAAGTGCTAGTATTGGGTTCATGACAACCAACTAAACTGCTAGGACCAATGCATCACTGAGGAGAGTATCCGAATTCTGGCAGTGAGCAACACCCAAAACTTCAAAGCAATACACTAAAAAAAAATCTATCATATAATATAAACAATAGGAGCTCTTAGTGACTGCATTTCTGGATTGATTCAACAGTCTTTTTTTTTTTTTTTTTTTGCACAGAACTGAGCAGGAAAAGACAGCATATGCCACAGCTTTAACTTGTGCTTGCAGCAGTGAATGATATTTATACCCTTGCACCAATAGCCACAGACTTATTTGCCAGCTGCTGCACTGTCACCTTGTTCTGAATCCCATAAGGAAATGTTTTCCATATTCATGAACACTGCATTCATTTCCTAAGATCTAGCAAATCCTCACTGAAGCTATGTGTTATAATATAATTGATTCTTTAATTGCTTAAGATCAACAAATTTACTGTAAAGAGTTGTGTGGTATTTCACGCACTGACACAAACACAAAAGACATTACTGCATGCTGATATTATTTCAATCCATTCATTATAATTGTTGAAAAGATGAGAAATATTAAATTATTGTTGAATGTGGATCTACCAATCTCCATTAGATTTTATGGTACTATATTATGAAGAGTATCTTTACAGAAAAATCATTTCTGCGCTTCATAAGAAAGCGAATGTTAAATTGCAGTGGTGCTGAGCAGCCAAGGTTAGTCGCATTCATGCTAATATGACCTTCAATTAGGGAAGCACACATGTCTCGAGATCCAGCCGTTTGATCAAACGTATGCTATAGGATGAGGAAATGTTGGTATCCTAGAAAAATTCTACTTAGAGGTGACCTTCTACTTAGCCAAGCTCATTAGGCAAAACAAAAAAAAATTGCACAGCTTCTTCCTGCTCTCTCTTCAGAAGAATTTCAGTAAACCTCAAGTTGCAAATAATAATTTAACCCACAGATTCATGGTAATGCATAGCAGCTTAGACAGTTAACACATTCATCTTGTGCAAATCCCCGGAGATGCTGGTTTACAGTGTTTTGTAAGTAAAAGCCAATAGCTTTTACTTAGCAGCAACAGCTCTTGGCTTTACTCTGAAAACACTGCGAAGCCACAGCGGTCCCAGATATTTGAAAAAAAAAAGCCAAATACTAATGCGACATCCTTAAATCAGCAAGGAAGAATTCAGTGTTCCCCTTATTTTCAGGCACATTTTTGGGGCTAGGTAAAGTAGTTTTCTCACCAAAACACTCAAATGGCTGCAGAGCTCTTCTGAATATCTGGCTACTAATTTTAATGTCTAAATAATTGAATCATAAGAGTTTTTTTTTTTCTTTCTCCAGAAATACAGCACCTTTGATGTACAAACAAGCAGTGATGCATATCGGATTCCCATTTTTAAGCCCAGACATGTTCAAAGAAGTTGAGGCTGCTAAACAAACATTTATCCAAGTCAAAAAAAAAAAACAAATAATGAGATGGTTATTTGAAATTTCTCTAATTTTTGATAAGCCTTTACAGTAGCACCCTGTAGGCAACAGAGGTATTACATATAATGCTTATTTATACACAATCATATTCCATTTATATCATGTACTTCAATACAGAGAATTAAATGAGAGAGATCTTAAGGTACCTAAGCAGAAACCACAAATACAGCCAAGAGATCTTAAGGAAACAATTGGAAATAAGCACTTAGGCTAAGAACACTGCAAACTTCACAGACTGAAAATGGTGTTACGCTTTCGTAACACTCAGCTTTGAAGAACTGGTTGGAAAAAGAGGACTTCCCAGGGAACGTCTAAGAGTTGGCAGCAATGGAGGGGGCTGCATGGAGAGAGGCAGCTGGCGTATGTTGCTATGGCCTACTGAAGTCAGCTGAGCTGAAGCAGCTTACACCAGCTAAGGACTTGGCTCTGCAAGCCGAATAGAGAGGGTGAGATAACTGACTGATATAATTGGATCATGATGAATTCTCAGTGCAGAAAAAAAGCAGCTAAGAAAACTTGTATATTGTACATACACGTGCTATTTCTTCCTTTAGTTTGCTGAGTTCTCAGGCATTTCCTGGTACCTTCTTTCTTTCCAAACTTGTCTCCTCTTCCAAAAGTATTTCATTTGCATCTCTCTTTGGCTCTCCTTGCCATCACTGGCACTCCTTTGGTGCTCTCCTCTTCAGCAAGGATGGATGCAAGGGTATTACAGCACACCTGCAATATAGGCCTGTTAATATTGCCTGCACTTGCAAACAAGAGGCCCCAAACAGCTTTCTTCCATGATTGATACGAAAATAACTGTCCAAATCAACATTTAATCTGGTAAAGGGCAGTTATCCTTTTAAAACAACATTTACTCCAAAGCCTTAAAGAGGTTTCTGTACCTTCATATAACATTCAGGAAATATTTACACTGCTTTCGTTAAAAAAAATAAATAAAACCAAAAAAACTCATGTAGTCAAGTTCACAAATTTAAGTGTTAAACTGTCCTCCTCTTATTTGTCCAAATCACTAATCCTCATCTCCCCAAATACTACTGTGACCACAAGATTTAGAGTTCAGGTGTTTTGCACATTTTTGACTGGATTTTTTTTTTTTTCCTCCCAAATTCTATTAACTGCAGTAGCCAGAGGAACGATTCCCTTGAAACACTCTCAAATGTATTTGAGAAGGTGTATATGTCCACCTTCCATCTTGTGTAAGGAATACAGCATCCCGCCTCGAAAGCGCTTCACAGAGCCGCCAGCCCCAGCTCCCTGCCCTTGCTGGTGCCCAAGGCAGGTCCGCAGTGCCCAGCTGTGCCGCTGCTCTGCCAGGGGCTGCAGCGGTTTCCGCAGCGGTTCCTGCAGCAGCATCCCCATCTGCTGCCTTGCAGGGGCATAGCAGCCGCATGAAGGAAATTTCCTTCTGCAAACAATACTGGCCTTGCATCTTTGTGCAGCAGAGCTCCCAATAACTTCATGTTTAGACTTTACCCACGACCTTTCCCATGGGTTTGCAGCTGCCTGTCCCTGCAGTCTGGCCAAACAGACTTATGCAGCTGCATGCTCCACAAAGCTCCTTCAGATTCCATGGGTTAACAATATTTACATTACATTTTCCTGCAGAGGTGCTCTAAAAGCTGGACTTTCTCTGCATTACTGAAAAAAATAAACCAAATAAGGAAGAAATTTGGTTTCTTCCCTCCAATTTGGTTATGGGTGAGCTCGGCCACTAACGTAAGCCCTAACACGGAGATGTGGAGCTGCTCCCAGCAGGGCACCTCAGTGGGAGCATCTCGGGGAACTGATTGAGCGCAGGAGCACACGTGGCAGCAGGACAGGCCAGGGCAGCACAAACAGGAGAAAGCAGCTGCCTCTCCTAGAACAGTATTTCTAATTTTCACCTTTAGAGCAAAGTAATATCACCACTTCCTGAGATTTTTTTCTATAGAGTTGCTTTCATTTACAGGCAATTAAAACATAGACTGTTCATTTCAAACACACATCCACACGTTGCTCGTGAGCATTTGTGACAGTGTGTAGACTCTTTACAAAAAAATGACATAATTTCCCCTTGCAGCTGTTTGATGGAAGACCCTCTGAGAACTTAGAGGGCAGCAACAGCCACCCACACACCACTACCCAAGAAACAGTCCCGCAGATGGGGCTGAGGGGCTCTCCTTCATCAATCAGTTGATTCACATGCTGAGGGCTGAAAATTGCTCTGGGCTTCATGGTTCTTCTTATTTCACTTGTGTTTACAACAATATCTGTGGTAGTTGCTTTTATGCATAATCACATAAAGTCACGTCTTGTACACAGGTAGCAAAAGCACACTCTTACCAGTGTGGTGCATTTGTCAAACTAGTTACATTCTTTTTGGCAATGTACTTTATCAAAGCTGTATTTTGCCTGCAGCAAAATAGTCAGCTGTTACAGTGAAGTGCTATATATCCACATTATCATATGAAAAATAATTATTCTCTGTATCTACTAAATTGCTGCTTATTTTTTCAGGCTGGAATTACAACTACTTTCATATAAGCATCCAACTTGCTACCCAAATTATTTGAATAGGTTGGGTGTAACACTGTAAATATGACCAAGGCAAAAAGCCAGGAATAAATCCGATAGTTTTATCCAAATAATGTAGTGGGGCCTCTCCTGTATCTCTGTAGCAGACAGTGGATTGTCCAGCTGTATGCACCAACTTGGGACCTCTGGCTACTTAAACAGAGATTCTGACATCCAGACCTCCAAAGAAACCACAAGTGAAATACCCAATAGTCTGAACCTCGTTTACACTGAAGACTGCATGGTTTTGTTGTAAACTGCAAGAGACTTTAAGATTCCTGGGAGATGACAGAACATGACAAGGCGTTTTGATGAAAAGAGAATCACATACAATGCATTATTTTCCCTTCTTTTTTTAGGCTACATTGCCTGTTTTGGGAGACCTCAATCTGGGAGGCAATGGATGAGTGAAAGATGGGCTCAAGACAGGTCAAACAGACTGTATGATCATAGGTCAGCATTGCCTGCACATGAGGCAGTGACATTCACGCCCTGCTCACCCACAAGCAGTTCCTGTCAATAGTGAAACATCCACTGAGCTCAGCACAACGACGACCCCAGCTTGTTCATGGCACAGGCCCTTCAGTGAGGCCTCGGGCTGTCAGTGCACGTGGAGACTTCCAAACACTTCCAAACCTCCCTTTTGTTCCTATTGACTAGGGTTTAATATACAAACTTGACATCTGGATTTTTTGATTCATACAACAGATTTAAACTTCAATATATTGATCTGAGCTCTAAAGTTGATTTTATCCAGTGTGTAGGCAAAGTATGCAGATTTCTGCAGCTTCAGGTGCACAACCTTGCCATGATGCAATGAGCATTTGTGGCATCTGCCACACAGATGATCTCTTAGACCAGCCTGTGCCAGCAGGAGTGTGTGACTGAACTACTGAAAGTGATCCCACATATGGCATTTTAACCAACTCACTTCCTCCTCTAGGATAGCTCTGGAGAGCAGTCAAATGTCACCCTCTGAAGAGAGACAGGACTTTCGCCCATCATGATGGCACCTGCCCTTGTCACCATTTTCTCAAAACTTGACACAGCTAATACAGGGACTTACGTTATCGCACAGAACCACTAGTGATGGATCTGGAAGGGCAAGAGCCCTAAGCAATCTTGCCACACCTATGCACTCGGAGTTAAAGCAAGCCTCTGCTATTGCAGACATTTCATTTGCTGGGGAAATGATGGGAAACATTTAGCAACTAATCTGTTTTATTATTGCAATAAATTGTCACATAGCCCCCCAGGTGTCCTCAGACTATAGAGCACTTCCAAAATACAGGAACAAATCATTAACTCATTACACAGAGGAGGAAAGCAAGACAAGGAAGCAGTGAGTTACTGGTAGAGACAGGAAAGAACCCAGGTGTCCCTCCTCCCCGGGTGAGTTCCCTCCCTACTACAATACACAGCCTTCCTCTGTCACCTACCGCTTTGTTCCTGCTTCTTCAGTTGTGGAGAAATCTGTCTGATGAAATGAAACATCTCTCCCCAGAAACATGGTAGCTGCTAAGTGAGAGTACTGGCTCACACAATCATCACGGCAAATGCCTTAGGACTGAGCCGTTCAACCTAGAGTAGAAAACATATTTTTGCTTTTTTTTCCCCCTCCCACTCGGTGTAAGTCTTGCCTGTCATTTTATTGTGCTAGTGAAAGCAAATTTCACTAGAAACTGAATCCATTTACAAATATTTTGATAAATTGAGACAGTTACTCAGGAAAAAAATGAGTATATGCAGATAAAATATAGTGTCAGGAGAACAGTTGCTGCACAGACCCACAGCCGACATAGACTTCATTTTATTTATGCCTCTTTAAAGTTACATGGGTGTCTCTGAGAAACAGAAACAAAATGAACATTATTTCTATTGGTAATAAATTAAAGAAAAACCTCAGGTGATTAATCCTCTAAAATTTGCAGTCTTGGTGGTTTTTTTTTTTTTTTTTTTTTTTTGGCAGAAAGATACACACGTAAAATTGTATCCCCACTGTTCTTGTACACACTCACGGTCTGATTCTGCAGGGGCAGTTGGCAACTTCCTTTCAGACTGTCTCAGTTTCTGACTGGAACAAGTCACAGAGCCATTCTACAGGATGCCATCCATCATGTTTGAAGTATCCTGCAAAGGGATTTCCATTAGAACGTAGTCCAGCAAGACCATCTTCCATCTACAGCATGACTTGCATTTTTATGTTATGTCTTGTTTTCTCTTCCTAATACTGAATTACCTACCTACCTATCTGTAGACCTACTGTAGCTCTGCTTTCTTGTAGGGGCAGAGATCATGCTGCACCTCAGCCTACAAGCAAAGCTCAGCAAGTGCCTTTCTTGCACTGAGTGACATAAATGGACAAACTGCTTCTCCGTAAACAACAGCACTTACTACAGCTTCTCTTGACCAGGAACTGTACAGAGTGACCTTTTGCAAAAAGCTACGATGGCTTATTGTACACACATACCATGTTTTCTCACCTTCACAGAGCCTGAGAAATGCTTTTTGATATCCACATCCTTAAAGCAACTCCAGAAAACCAAAACTTAGTAGAGGAAAACCCAGTGTGCATTGTCCTCTGAGGGTTCAAATAATCTTGTTTTTCACACGATACTATAGTACATGGGCAAAAGCAGCCCACTTCTACTGGATCACCACTTAAACAGAAAACTGAAGTGCAGGATGCTCAAACAGTAAGAAGCACTAAGCAGCCCTGCCCAGTGAGAGTCGTGTTGCATAGGAACTGCACCATGTATCACACAGTCTGGGATTCACACAGCAAGTTAAGTGCAGGGCATGGACTGACTCCTGCCTGCTCACAGCAAGAGCAAGTAGCAGAATGCTCTAAAGCACTGCTGTGCTCAACTGCTCCTGGTCTTCAGACACTGGCACCACAGGGCTGTTTTACCCTTCTAAATATAAGGAGCTTCCACAAAGCATGAAGTAGTAGAGAATTTAGAAGTGCCATCCCATGGCAAAAAAACTGACAGTAAAAGTAATCTATAAATGCCCTATTCAAATGTACAAGATGTCTCTTATTACGTGCTGTTCTCCAAGCACTTCTCTTGTCAATTCTACTTTGCAACTGATGAAAAGAAATATCTACAGCATCTCATAATGACAGGGCACAGCTAGTTTAAGGTTACTGATGAATAAGAAGGCCTTGAACACAGCTATGACAGTGCTACGTTTGTTGTTTGCCACATCAGAAAACAAATGCCAAACCACTTCATTCAGGGACTTCTATTTATCAGTTCTCTTAAAGAACAGGAGCAAAACACTGAGATGAGAAATAAAATCATGTGGAACATCATTCTCAGCATCAGGGCCAGCTTATTGGGAAGCTGGAGGCACCTGGGCTCAGGGAGCTCCTGGTATTGAACTGGTGTGTGGAGCTGCCCTGTCACACATTGCTGTCATGAGGACTGTAAAAATAGGGGATATTTAGTCCATATTTTCTTTTACTTTAAAAGTTGGTTGGTCAACACCTGAGCTAATACTCAGTTTAAGAAAACTATTAAAAATGTTGACCACTGTCATTTGGATTATCTCACATAGTTTCTTCTTTCAAATTGGGCATTATATAAAATATCCCAGTTTGCATCTGCTGAGATCAGTGATTGAATAAAATACTTCTTTTGGATCAGGGTCAAAAGACTAAAAAATGTCTACATATTCACCTGGGACTGTGGGAAAAGATGGCACATCAGAGCAAGAACAAGAAACAGAAGGACTTACCACATACATGGAATACGGCTACAGCTTCAGCATCTACAGGTGTCTGGTTGGAATGTGGGTTTGATTTGTAGCCCTCAGAGCAGTTGGCCTCTGTACTACAAATCAGAGCTCACCATCTGCTCCCCAAAGGGGAAAATACTGTGCCTTTTAACCCTACTGCAACAATTCCACAATGAATTTTACATAGAAAACTTTCTGAGCAGTAGAAAAGTTTTTTTTATCACTTTTGTTTAGAAATACTACATGGGTGCATTTACCATAAAATTTCTTCGTAATTAAATGTTCTTCTAGTCTTAGGAAGAAACTTGCACTACTGCTAATTAAGACAAAGAGTGTCAGGAGCATCTGAGAAAAATAACACTTTTACTCATAAAACTTGATGACAACATCTGATGTGTGAGAGAAAGAAGTGATTACTCTGGAAAGCCTGACTTACAGCCTCATGGCTCTCTCCTGTCGTGTTTTGTATTGCCCATGAAGTCAACACAGCACAGATCAAAGAAGGACTTAAAGGATTCATATTTCAATAAGAAGAATTAAAATAGCTAACTGCTCCCAAGCAAAGAAGGAAACAGTACTTGTGTAATATTCCAGTCTTGGCTTCACTGGAACTTTGTTATACTGCAGATCCATTCCATCTCTAATTAGTCCATATGTTCACTGTTCAAATTCACCTGACTTAAATTTATGACTTCCATACACATCCACACTATACATCCACACTACAAAAACTCAGTGGCAGCTGAATATAAAAAGTTGCATTCTTAAATTAAATACTTCAGGAGATCGAAGTATTCTAGGGAATTGGTGAATGATCTGTCTAGCACCACCCATTCCCTACAGGCTTCTAACCACGTGTGCTGGATCCTGTCAGCAGAGAAGAACTTCCACTCTGGCTTCCTTTCACTCTCCCTGATGGAGAAGAGTTCTGGAAATACTGTAACTATTCCCCACTCCTCCCCACTCTGTAGGAGGCATCATATGCTACTTCTTTTTTCTCTTTTTATTTAAAAAACTATGACCATGCTGTTTTCAGTAACCAGTTCCAGTTTTAATCAGAAATATTTTCATAAAAGGTGCTCCCTATCTATCTCAGATTATTGCATTTTTTTTCTCATTTCTTTCTGCACTTGTACTGCAACATGATGACTTTTTAGTTTTGCAAGGATTATCAGGCATATGTGAAAGAATAACTAAATATACCTCGACTGTCACATTGTTGTGATAGAATTTATCCAAAAATGCACTCAAGGACTTATTGAAAAATAATTCTCTATATTCAAGGGACATATTGCATCATCTTGCAGCACATGATTGCACTTGGAGGTCATTTGCTGTAAAACTGGGCGAAAAGGGATGAAATGTTGATACTTTTAAATCCCACTGACCTCATCTGCAGGACCTCCTTACTCTGAGGGACTCTTCCTCCTTAAAGGACGTCCTGCTTTGGATTCTGGAGATTGTGCGACTTCTGACTCTGTGCACCCAAAGACAACTAATGGGTAACAAATGAGCTACCCTCAGGGTGGCTGAACCTCTTTGTAGACTCTGCTTTCTCAAATGCCACAATGGAGCTACTGACAGAGAGGCAGAACACAATAGTACAATTAAAAAACATATCAATTACTCTCTGGTCTTCTGAAATAGAAGTCATATCCATGGCCAGCTGAAGTTATTTCAGACATTAAAACCAACTGCTTGAGCAGAGTAGGCCACAGCTCACCCCTAACAGTTTTCTAAATACACTTGTCAAACTTCCAAACATGCAAAGTGTTGTTCTGGTAATATACTATTTTCGGAGTATAGCATACAAACCACATATGCACATGGATAGAACCAGTTTCCCTTGCTCTAAACATTGCATAGTCTTTCTCTTTAAGGCAAAGCAGATGAAGTGTGAGAACAAAATCAGAACCATGACATTTTGCTTCTGTTATGCTCTTTGGATCAGTGTAACTATTTGAATAAAATGCAGCAGAAATTCTCCCACTTCTCCCCTCTAGTAAGCAGCTTTTGATTTATTTTTTGTACATGGAACTCCAGGAGGAAGATAACAATAAACTAGTTGGCAAATAACATATTTGAAAAACACCATGACATTTCTGGTATAAATTGCCTGATGAACATTTGAGACTCTCTACCATTTACGAGATCTGCATTCTCAGCAAGCCTGAATGGCTGTCCTTAACCTCTTCCTCATCTGAAGAAACACAGTGACCTCACTGAATTTTTTTTCCCATGCGCTATTGTCATCTGTATACTCCTAAACTCTTCTCTTTCAATCACAAAGAAACAAAGCAACTGAAGAACTGCTTAAATGAGCAGGTGAAAATCAGAATGTGACCCAACACGCTTAGAAAATCATCAGCCCAACAGGCTTATAAAAATCACATCATAGAGCCCTTTGTTTCTGTGAGCACAGAGATTTGCCTTGGTGACAGAAATAGCGTAGTGCCAAAGCTGCTGTAGCACTGACAGCCTTGTGCAGGGTACAAAAGCCTGTGAGAAACCTTGACATCACTGCCCAGGAGCCTACAGATTTCAGTACTATGAGAAACAGCTTGTGCTTTGCTGTACAGCAAAAATATTCATGGCTACCAGCTGCTGATAAGCACTTGCCAAAAATATCAGCTTCACTACATGGGCAATACACAGACAGTGGCTTAGTAAACTGTTCAAATGGCTGACTCTTGCTAATTATGACCAAATAAGTCAAATTCATCATTGTATTTAAACTAGTCAGTTTTGATGTAGGATCCTGGGTCTGGTTACATGTTTTATATATCCTGTGCTCAGTACACGAGTAGAATACACTGTAACCAGTTTACTGTCTAAAACACACTTTTGTGTAACAATTGCTTAATAACATTATTGTGCTGGTGGATGTGCTGCATAGCTGGACCGAAAAGAGACTAATTGTTCAAACATTCTCTAATAGCCAAAGATTAATACTAAAAACTGATTTTGCTAAATATTTGTAGTGTGTTATATCAGCTTTAGATTTTAAGTGCTCTATGGTATGTGAATGAACTGCCTAAGAGTATTAGCTTCATGGACTGTAATTCTATAGAGGCATCTTCAGTTTATTGCTCACACTATGGAGCGAACAAAAGAATCCCAGAAATTCAAGAGCTGCTCGCTCCACTGGACTGTCCTGCTGTCCTGCAGAGTGTGTGATATCACCTCTCACCTTGTCTACTCTCTAAAATATTTTGAGATATTAAACATTAAAAATGGCTCAACAATATGAACTCTTATAGTCTCCAAACTAGTCATAGTTCATGAGCTATGAGTGCATTTAATAGAATTAAATTAAGCTTAGGAAAGAGTTTTCCCTTTGTTCTGTTTGTTCATGCGTATTCTGTAGGAAGTGTCCATATGATCTAGGGATAGATCAAAGCAACCTGAAGAATGCTGGAGGCAGCAAGCAGCTGGAAACAGAACCTTTGCTGGGTCACCACATTAACTGTCAAGGGAACTGTGAAGACAAACTTTATAAATACACACATGGAAACACAAGATTCTCTTTTTCCACACTCCATTTTTGTTCTTTGACCTCTCAGATTAATATTCAGGTAAAAATAAAGCTAATCTAAAATAATATCAAAGTCATCATCCCTTGACTGCCCTATATCTTTCAAGGCGACTCCTCTAGAAATGACCAAACTAAAGGGTGAGATTTGCAGTGAAGCCTTAAAATTTGTTTAAATTGCATCTTCCTTACAACCCGTCCTGCTCTTAACATTGCACATCATAACATCACCTCTCTGTACTAGAGAACCACCTGCAGTGAGGCACCACCTTACTACTTATAAAAATAACAGCAATCTCTCCACATGCCTGTGACTATGTGATGTGCTGCAAAAGATAAGCACCAAGCACTGCTGATGGGGTAGAGGGACGCGCCCCTATAACCCAGACATCCATCCAATTCTGTTTCTTATTCAGAATCCATTACCTTGCAGATAACAAACAGCAAAATAGTAAATGAGAAAGAAATTATGTGCAGTAAACAAACAAGGACTTTGTCCTCACAGTTCAGAGCAGAATCCACCTTTGCCCACAGTTCAGCAATATTCAGCTCAAGTGTTTTCTTCAAGGACAAATCTGAGAAAGAGAGAAAATAAAGCTCTCACAAAACATGTCCATTGTATGAAAAATCTCTCCAACATACAATGTAAAGTGCTTTATAATTCTGAAAACTATCAACTAGATCTAGTGCACAATTATGTTATCAGAAAGTCTCCTATAGTTTTCTTAAGCTTTTCCTAGGTTATCTGTTTTAACTCTCTTGCTCCCTACAACAGAGAAACACAGTAAATTTTAGAGGTTTTCCTTGCTTTGTTCCTCTCCTGGCTGCAGGTGGTGTGCACAGAAGCGTCTTTCTGTCTTTTCCCATGTTCACCTTTGTTGGAGACTTCATTATGCCCTCCTGGTTGTTACTGCTCAGAAGGGTTTAACGACTGACAGTCACTCCTGGTACCCTTCAAAATAGCAGTTATGTAAAGAATTCACACTAAAATGACTTTAAGTCTTGCACAAGAATGTAGGAGTAATAACAACAACAAATCAAACAGGAAGGCTTCCTCCCCTCTCCGCGCCCCCCCCGCCACCTCCAATTTAAGCTCTAAAGAGAGCAAATATCACTACTCATAACAATCCAGACAAGTTAAAATATAATTTTGGATGATCATCATTCTTTATATTATTTTCACAACTAAAATTCAGGGTGCACTGAATAGAATGCCATCATTCTATATTTATAAAAGAGATGATAAAAACATAAACATAGTGTTAAAAAGTTTCAAAGTTTCAGTGATTATCAGAAGCAATTGATAACAGCAGATCAAAATTCAAACTGTACAAGCTTCTGTTTTATGTCCTGGGGGAGATGACTACAGCATATATGTAATCTAACATTTTAAAGGCCAAAGAGCAAAACTTTGGTGATTAAATGCCTCACTTAACCCTGGGAGAAGCTTTCAGCATATGCTTTCCCTGTAGCATTATAGATCACATTTACAGCATGTTTTATTACTTCTAAGCAGCAACCCCTAATATATATAATTGCCAGGCAAAGTATCTGAAAATGAGAACAGATACCTGGTAAGAACAGACATTAGAATGACCATTTATTGTTTTAAAGTGCAGTGGACGTATGACCAACAGAATCATCCTTTCCAAGGCAATTTTACTATTGAGAGATTTCATCTCTTTGACTAAGACAGTGAAGAAAAAAAAAAAAGTGAGCCTGAGGTTTGGAGTTTTTGTTTGTTTGTTTTTAAATACACTTATCAAGCTTCCAAACCAGAGAAAACCAAAGTTTCTCACAATCAGACTCATTTGTAGGGAGGAAGCCAAGATGGTACTTTTGTTTTCTGGCTGTCAGAAAGTTTAATATGATTAAAAAAAGAAAAGAAGCTTACAGTAGTCCAGTAAAAACTGTCCAGTCTCATTAGCATCAGAAATGCTGTTTAGATCAGAAGTATTTTAAAAAGGCGTCATACAACTCTTTCCAGCCAGGCTTTCAGTGATCTTTTGTGAGCATCATGGGACATGCTACTGCAATATTCCCTGCTTTGACCATTTTCAAAATCCTTTTGCCAACCCTCTGTTGCTTTAAATTCATCCCTACCCAACTGCTCAACCACATGCTGCCTTCTCGCTCCTGCTCCACTTCATCTGCCATGTACCCAGCCCCTTCCTCCTGCTAGGGACTGCCGCCACAGCTGTCGGCACAGCCAAGGAGCAGCACCGCTGAATTTTGCAAGAGATGAGAAAGTGCAGGCCCTTGGTTTGCTAAGAGGCCCTCTGCATTTTCTCTTTCAGAGGTAGCCACCTTACTATGAGGATTGGGGAGGCATGCAGATGTCTGCATACGACAGCCCTTTCTCCTAAATAAATCTTCCTGATAGCTTCTTGTTCAAAATCTAGATGAATAAAGTGACTACTGCCGTTCAAAATCTAGATGAATAAAGTGACTATTGCCATTCAAAATCTAGATGAATAAAGTGACTATTGCCTAGAATTAAGAGATATTTTCAACAAAAATTTACAAAAAAAAGAAGACAATCAACACTATAGTAGATGATGATGGCTACATCTTAATGCATCTCTCATACCTTGACAACAGGAAGACAATATAATTTTCTTTAACATACCGACTTCATAAATCTAGACTACCAGACTATCTGCTTAGTGCCATGGTTTACCCCTAAATATCTAAGCATCTGCTAGGTACTTCTGCATTTATTCACCAGCTGCCACAATGAGGCAGTAGTAAGTTGTGGTGAACACAGTATTTACAGTACAAATCATGTTCAAGTGCTAACTAATGCTAATTTGACTTGGACCATTCTGGATCTCTGATAATCATAGCTCTTACCTCTTAAAAAGCAATCAGATTTGAAAAACACTCATCTAAATAAAAAAAAAATCTACCTCTAACTTTTCCACTTCTGTCACATCTACTATGAAATTTCTATGGCAAGTTCCAAATAAAATTAAAATAACTACATTTTCTTTAAATAGTAGCCAAGGTTGGGAGCTATTGAAGACTGATTCCTAAAAGACGACATATGTTTGCCTTAATTGGGATTGTCAAACCTATTAGGGAAGAGCTAGGAGGAAAACATGTCTCTGAGTACATGTTTGTGTGTTGAGTTAAACACTCATTTGGAAGTTAATGAAAAGATAACTAACTTCTTTTCCTTGTAATAGGCAAAGATTGTTTCCCATAGAGAGGGCGAGGAAGAGGAGAAACCAAACTCTCTGCTTTCATCCTCTGCCTTTGGTCCCTAAGTGTAATCTCCTTTACCTCCCCCTCACCCTATTTTCACTAAACGAATGAGGCTGGTGAAAAAAAACAGCTTAGAGATCTGGTGAGTTCATGTGAGAAACCTGATGCAGTAAACTTCCGTGATTGGGATTTTCTTTTTTTTAGTAAAACAAGCTACATAATTAGGTTCTTTAGAAAGGAGGACTGTCCTTCTGTGACTTTGAAGCTGCACTGTCCCCAAACGCCTGTCATTTGACTAGATGGCAGCAAGTGAAAATTTCTGAACAAATGAAAAAAGCTGATGCACTTTTCCTGGGTCATTCCACTTTTGTGCACAACCAAAAGTTGGTCTCTCACTGCTTTTTGTACCTATGGAATGGCAGGAAAAGGAAGGTGCTGCATGCGGAAAGGTGGTGTAGCAGAGTGAGGCATGTGGAGTCACTCCCAAACAGAAGAGTAACTGCTGTGGTCATGTCTCATGTGGCTGCCACACCAGGCAAAGACCTATAGGTCATTTTCCGCAAAGAAACATACTTAGATAATCCGGCCTCATATTGGAGGAACTGCTTGTGTCCTATATGTCTCTCTTATAACAACAGAAATAGGAAAAAAATAAATAATTTCAGTTAGGAGCTAATTCCTAAAAAGCCATTCTATTATTTGGTGGGTCACATTCACCTCTGTTTACCGGTGCTTTTGTACATTAAACCATTTCACACTCAAAGCTGAGGCCGGCCTTCTCCAGAACACAAGCCACTCACCAGCACGTCCCGGGGCGCAGCTGCAATGAGCACAGCACGGCTCTCCCCTTGCACGCGTCGCACTTCCACAGGAGCTGGTCCGGAGGGTTAATGCTCCTCAGACAAGACCCCTGCACTTACTGCCACCTAAGGGAATTCAGTAAGAATTTTTTTTATTTATTTATTTTTTACTAATAAAATCACATTTTAAAGGCTTTAAAATAATCTGATGTCATCAAAAGAGACATATAGAGGAAAAACATGGTTTGTTACTTGCCTTCCAAAAATCATAGACTACTAATCATTTCCATTAATGTCTTTGATGATAAATACATTTTTGAAGCTCTGATTTGAACTTTTTATTGAAGACTTCATTGTAGTAAGCATACGATATATCACAAGCAACCAAAGGCAGCAGAAGACTTCCACAACACCACACCTTATTGTCAACTACTTTTAACGCTGGAAGCTCAGTCCTGCTTGTAATGGCACCTTGGCTTTATAGTTTCCTCATAGAAAATAAGACTACTGGAACTTCTGTAAATTTCCATGTTATACTGAAAGAAAGAAAAGGAGGTTTTCACCAGCAAAATTTCCTCTGCAACTGTTAGCAGTACCTCGGCTCTTCATCCATCTCAGCAGCAGGGGGCTCTTGAAAGTGAGAAATCTACTCAAGTTTTCTGACAAACTACAAAAAAAGATTTTAAACAGAGGCTAGACGAAAAGACTATAATGGCATTTGTGTCTGCACTGCAAAAGAGGCATTTCTACATCACAGTTGACTCTGAGCAATGGCCTAAAGTCTCACTGTCAACAGAAAAATCACTCAATACTATTGAGAGCGGCAAAGTCATTTTGTGTGCACTTGATTTTCATCTATTCGACCTTTAATTGGACAGTTCAGAGGACTAAAGTGCTAAAATTTTCTCCAAATAAAGCATCTACACTCATAACAAATTTACTCTGAAGCTGTTTGTGCCAACAACAACATACAATAAGTATTCTCAAATCCTCTTTCTGCTTTCCACTAGTATCTTTTCCCCATGAAGACTATGCATTTGGCAAATAAAACCTTTTCCTAATACTGCTGAAGAAAACAAACATAAAATACACCAGCACTTAGCACTGCTCAAGTGTACAAACTTGAGGAGCAGCACCAGCTGCTCCTCAAGTGTACAAACATGTGTGCTGACGTGATTGAATGCGATGTGAGTTAGATTAGTCGCCAAAGATAATTAAGAATTATGCAGCTTAATTCAGACACATGAAACTGCATTAAAATGACTTAACTGAAAACTAAAACTCAGAATAGAATGGTAAATCTTGGAATAGAATGGTAAGTGGAAAAATAGTATCATCCATAGAGAAAATCTGTTGGAATGTTGGGATATTTTATTTTTTAATGCAATAAAGATAATTAACAACATGCACTCAATTTTTAAAATAGCAGCAGCCCAGGCAACTCTAAGGCTTTAGAGTTTAGTTCAGCATTATTAAAGTTCATTAAAGTTCAGCAAACAAATTGAAAATGTAACTAACAGTTTTCATGCTCAATTGCTTGGTTATTCAAATGGTACATATGA